CTACTGCTTGCGAGTGGCGGGGCGGTTCTGCCCCGTCACAGGATCTTTCGGAAAAGGCTTTATTTTCTGAAAGATCAGTGTCTAGACTGGCGCTATTCTCCCACAAAGCTCCGTGCCGAAAAAAAAGCGGCAGCCATTTTTATGCTAATGAAGCGCGGGAGATTTAAATCCCCGCTTCATTAGCAATTGCGATACGTCTAATTTACATCCCTTTTCTGAAAAAGGGATGTTGTTTAAATGTAGCCATGATGTTTGAAAGGCTACAGGGAGGATTATTTGCTAAACTTGCAGAGGGGCAACAAAGATAGTGTTAGCTCTCATTTAGCATGCTTGCAGTAGAGTCACTCCTCTTGTGCAAAATACCAATTCCTGCTAGCTGCAGATAGTTTATTCCACTCCAGTACAAACATTTAATTTTGGCTGCCAGTTATGGCTGGCACAATAAGCTACAAATATTTTTTCCATATTGCAGACAGCGAGTCCTTTGAGGTTTATGAGCAATTCTTGCTTCAGTAGAAGCCACTCATGAGCAGCCTTATATGCTAATTGTCCTCTAAAATGTCACAGTGGTTATTGGTTTTTAATTTACATTTTGGAATGACTTATTAGCTGAAGGTACTTTCCATGGGCAGTTGGGATTTATGAGGGGGTTTAATTTCTGTATCTAGTTGCTACCAGAGAGCATATCTAATTTAAAATAGCTCATATTTCTAAAACTGAAGCAGGCAGGGGGAGAAGACAGACAGCTCCTTTTCCCCCCTTTCCAATAAACCATCTCCTTTAGGGCTACCATATTTGAACTTTCAAAAAAGAGGACGCTCCTGAGAGGGAGTGAATCTGTATCAGTATCTACCAACTAACGTTGTATTAATGTGTTTTTTATATATGGTAACCCTAGTTTAGTCTCCATTTCTTAGCATCTTGGTTAGTGTTCATATGGACTGAGGCCAAAGACTGCTTGCAGGAGCCAAAGTATCAAATCACAGAGTTGTTGACTCGAGTCCCAGGACTTGAATTTGAGTCCAACTTAAGTTGCCTAGTGACTCGACTTCAGACTTGACTTAGGTTAATTGTTTGTGACTTGAGACTCAACTTGAAACTTGCTAATTTTGTTAAATCAACTTGGTGAAAAAATTGTCCGAAAGTGCTGATATTGATGGCTTGTACAAAAGTGACTTGACATTTTTAAAATTAAGACTTGAGACTTGACTTGGGACTTGACTCGAGAGTGACTTTAGGGACTCGAGATTCGACTTGACACTTGAACTGTATTGACTTGAGACTCGACTTGGACTTGACAATGACGACTTGAAGACAACACTGTCAAATCATATATGTCCATGATTTGGCAAAACGTGAGGCTGAGGTTTTCAAAGTAGCCTATGGGGGGAGATGCCTAACAGTTAATTGTAAGAGGAATTAGTAAAATTAGTGAAAACAGAATTTCTCAAAACTGGATTCCTTCTTCATGTAAGCATCAAGGAAGACCATGTCTCTCCCTGTGATACATTTTTCATAGGGGAATACTGAAAGAAGGGATGTCCCGAATCCACAGAAATCCTCTTGTAAAAGAAACTTGTGCATGTTCTAGTACTTTGCACTTTAGTAGCAGCTTCCTCCTAAAAGTACTCTCAGTTAATGCCTTTAACAAGATTGGGCACGTTGAATTTGTCCCCTCGTGTCCTGTGGGCATCATGCTATAAACACCTTGCCTCAGTTTCTTCTTTTGAACAGTTCAAGAAACTCAAATGCTTTTATCCATTTTGTCTGTTCTTTATTCAATTAACAAACATTCAAAATAAAATTTTCCAGGCTATGCAAAGCTGAGAAAGGTTTCTCTTCCTCCAGCCAAGCCTTCCAGCCTAAAGCCTTTCCTGCTGTGGTAGGCTATTTTCAGCCCCTGTCTGGCTAGACTCTCAGTCCTAATGCCCAGGACTCTGGTAGAGCCTGCTCAAGCCTAGCAGTCTGTAATGTCAGAGCATTTCCTCCTCCTTTGCAGCCTCTTTTGTTTTTAATTTATACTGTATGAACACCTAGTCATGGTTTGCTGTAAATCAAGGGCATAGCACTCTTGGGTTTTTGCTTCACTGCTGAGCAGCATGCATCCTGGCATTGTTTTTCTTGTGAATTACAGGCCACAGGGCAGATTCCATTTAAAAAAATTATTTTCACTGTCTTCACCCCATACTTCTTTTCCAGGCAATCTCCTGCTATTTCCAGATTACTGTCTTCCAGCATGGACCCAGTAACACCTTGCACCACTATGGTGAGGAGTGCAAGTATGCTCATTCTACTTGAGCTGTATGCCAGCTCTCAGAGCCAGATAAATTCTGCGTCGGAATTCACTCCTCACACCACTGAGCAGATGATAAAGGAGCAGGACAATGTTCTATATACAGCAGCAGCTCCTATGGCAGCAGGATGACAGGGCAACAGTAGCAAGAGGAGGAAGAACTAGACAATACCGAGCTGTTGGAACAAGAATCTGATTGATATTCCTGGGTCTTCTACTCAGCATTCAGCACCATTCCTGGGTCTGGGGAACCAGCGTGGATTAGCGAGAGAGGATCATTCTGCAGACCAGGGACAACCTACAGTGGTGAGAAAACTTCAAGATGGTGTTACCCGGGGTTAAGAATAAGGTCTGGGTAAAGATTTGGTTCGCCTAATCTGACTAGATAGTTCTATCTTTGTCCTCTACCCTGGTCACAGAGGTTGAGAGCTATGGAGCTCTGTCTCTGGAGGCAGACCTTGGGAGTCACAGCTGTCACACTTACACTGAGGGTGGTACCAAAATAGAACAATTTTTATTATAATTGGTATTAAGATTGCAAACAATACAAAACATAGGGCAAGAATCGCACAAATTAAGGTGACCAGAATTTGAAAATGAGCGAGGAGGACACTAAGTTGACAAAAAAGACATATTTGTATATTAGGGTTACCAGAGAGTCTCCCAAAAATATTTTTGGTTGAGCAAAAAAAAGGAACACGGGATTTTTTTTGGCAAAGTAGGACAAAAGGAGGACAGAATTATTGGAGAGGACAAGCCCCTCAAAAGGAGGACTGTCCTCCTCAAAAGCAGGATGTCTGGTCACCTTACACAAATGGATTCGATCATCCCGAAAAGTAGCATAAATAAGCCTGAGTATACAACTGTAATGATCTAAGTATACAGTTACCAAGTATAATACCATACTGACATACACCCTTCTGGAGAACCTGGGCATTCGAGGACCAGTCCATGGCCGCTGGTGGAACGAGGATCCCGGTGAAGTATGATAGAGGAAACTTGGAAAGAATAAGTAAAAGAAAGTGTTTGAGGTAGATAAACCTCAAACAGAAAGTCCCTAGTGAGGAAGCAAAATCCTGCTGCACAACCACTGTCATAGAGTCTCATAGGCCTTTTTGTGTCATCTTTAGCCAACCTCTCAAGGCCAAAAAACAGATTTCTGCACCCTGAGATCTTTGTGGCTACATGTATTTGATTGGATGATTAAATTGGGACATCCTTTTGAATAGGCATGAAAAGTTCACTTGATGCCCTCTTGTACACATTCCCAGAAGTGGGAAAAATGGGAACTTGTGGTCAGGTACCAATGCCTTCTGTTTCTTTGATGAGGTTGTCAATTTGGCTGGATCATTACATTTTGGACCCTTTTTGAGCTGACGAAATACTGACTCACATATTATCACCCCAATCTGGCCGTTATGTGTGTCCTGACCCGACTGAAGATTCCGCCACAAATCCTTTCACAACTTCTAAAAATTATAAATGGAAGGGATAGATAGATAGATAGCTAGATACTCTTACTTATACTTATAACACTACTGCTTATGCCAACTTCTTACAGGATAGAATCCCTGTAGACTCTTGCATTACTGCTAGAATAGTGACAAGGTAAAGTATTATAGGTTTACAGGTTCACAGGCTGCAATGACATTGAGATCCGTGCAGAACTGACCCTGGAGCTTCAGCAACAACGTACCTACATGTGGTGCTCATACCTATGTCACTGCCATCTGGAAGCTGGCCACTCCGAATGTTACCAAGCTGTAGCCCTACCAATGCAGCCCAGGTAGATCAACTGCTGGGGGCCATTCTGATGCAGATCTGCCATTGATTAGGTGCTGTCTAACTAAATCACGAAGCTGGGTAATGCTTAGGAGATTATGTAAATGTTCTCAGTGCCTAGAGGTGAAATTTGAGAGATGAATGGGAGCATCTGGATCACTGCTGCCGGGATGCAGGGTGCAGACGTTAGGAACTGCTGCTGCTCCCAGTAACCACTATTGTTCCAGGGCTGAAGGAGATAGCTGGAACCCAAATTATGGGATTGCAGGGCTGGTGGCCTAGCTGAATCATGATTTGCAGGAGAGAATTATGTCTCAGGATTGCATTCATGGACTGCCTCTGCATCCCTGTTTTTTTCCATGCTCTCTTGTGCCTGGGACAGCTACATTCTTTCCCCCCTCTCAACCGCCCAGATCCTCATATACAGCCTGCATCTCTCAGCCAGCCTAGTGTCTGCATTGCAGTATGTTAGCAAGACTAACTCACCAAGACAGGGTATTGGCAATCCAAGCTGGCAGGGAAAACAGGCTCAGTGGGGGCTCAGCACATCAGGTAATGTTCCCAAGGGGGTCCTGCCCTGTCACAGAGCATGGGCAGGAGCATCGTTTGTGCCTTAGCACAAAGTACACTCATACCTCATGTAAACTATGCGGACGAGCCACATTTCTTTTCCTGTGAGCACTATCTCAACAAACTGCTGAAATTTGCACAAAAGAATGCTTTCACTATTGGAATACTGGGGGTGGGGAGGGGAAAGGAAGCAGGAGTAGGACTGCAGCATGCTGGAAGCAGCACAAAGGAGAGCAGGGTAGGGGGGAGGTGAGGCCTGTTAGCTCACACCTGCCAACAATAATAATACATTTCAAAGATAGGTACTTGCATGCCAACAAGTTTTCTCCATAGGATTGGACTCTTCAGTTCTGACCTGGGATTCTAGCTGGGACATGATCTCAGTCTATTCAGGACAGGAATGTGTCCATAGTAGCAGGGCAAGACAGTCCAGCAGCTGCCATCAGGTCCCTAAAAGATCTTGACTCTCAGGGGACAGCTCTTCTCTGGCATCCTCCTGCTTATTCTCTAATGGGTTGAGGCCACTGTCCTTTGAGGGAAGGTGGGGGATTGTACAAAAAGTGGTACACAGCAATTGTGTGCACATGAACAAAAGCCTAAACCAGTTCAAAGCAAACATAGTTCACTTTGCAAGAGAACTCCAAAGTTCACACAAACGTGGAGTCTGTATGCAGTGATAGGTTGCATCATGTGTATGCAAGCATTTTCAATCCATTTCAATCAATTTTTACACTAAAAAGAAGCAAGAGGGCACAATGCTTATCCTCAGTATTACGTATGATTGGAACAAAATTCTGAAGTTTTTATTCATGCGGAACTTTCTGAAGTAAATGAGGATACTTACCTGGAGAGGGTGAGCAGGATTTGATCTGGGCAGGGGTAAGCAGTCACAGTCTACAGGGCTGACAAGAGTCTTTGCTAGGCCCTGAAGGGGAGCTGGATCCAGGCCCCACAGAAGGGGCGGGGCCTCAGGCAGAAGGGGCTCCCAGTCAGCCTTTCAGTGCTGCTAGAGCTGCAGAGCGCTTGCAATTGGGGGCTCTGGAGGCAATTTAAAGAGCCCAGCGCTCCAATGCTGCCTTTAAAACTTTTCCCAAGCTATTAGCGCTTCCTTAGAGAAATCTTTTCACAGGGTACAGTCTCCTCTGTGCCCTTATGTGTGACCACATGCTCAAGCTCTTGCTTCTATTCAGCTTCTGCCTCTCCTCGTGTCAGAAGTCAAGTTGTTTCCCCTGTGAACATCTAGCTGAATTTGCCCTATTACACACCTTCATTCCAAATTCAGATTATTTTAAATTAAAAGTGGGCAAAGTGAGACTCAATCAATGAAAACTAAATTGAATGAAAACCATAACCAGACTTAGGCTATTTCTGTGCACAAGTGCAGTGAACAGGCACACAGTGTACCCTGTTTAAAGCTCGCCTATCACTCTGACGAGCAGCATTCTGTTGCATGCTGTTCTTTGTCATCCTCCTGTCAGATCTTTCTGGAAGAAAACATGTAGCACCCCCTTTTACAGATTGTCAGAACTTTTCCCTTGGGTACTGACCATCTTCATTAACAGGTTGAACTGTTTTTCAGATGTTTCTCTCAGAAGTCAATATGCAAGTAGCACAATTATACTCGTATCATATTTCAGCATTTTGGATTATGAACATTATCCTTTGATATAAAATCTTCTTCTCCTCCCTGTTTCCATGTTGAGCATTTCAGAGTATTAACCTATTAAAATGGGTGTTAGAGTGTGTCTAGTCAAATGGGTTAACAGTGTTGCTCTCATTTCTAAAGAACTATTATCCTCCAGATTGTGGCTTGAGTCAGCATCCCTTTTAGAGAAATGTCATTAGTAATTTACTAGTTTCCTCAACTCAAGAAGTCTTATAGCCATTTAAAAATGAGCAAATTGAGGAACAGAGAGCTTGTGAGAGTTACTGAAAGTCACAGTGAACTTGTGGAAAATTGGACCCACAAGCTCTGACTGTTGTTCCATACAACTACAGGTTGAACCTCTCGAGTCTGGCACCCTCAGGACCTGACTGGTGCCAAACCAGAGAATTTGCCGGACCACGGGAAGTCAATATTGTCTAGCAGCATTACCAACACTCCACTGCTTAGTGGTATATTAGAAGACATTTGTGGGAAATTAGAGCTAAATAACAGCACAGAACACTGAAAGTCAGCACTAGTGGCTGTTAAATTTTATGGGATATAGCAAACTTGACCGCACCCATGGTAAGTGGACATCTAGTTAACCAAAATCATGCCAGGCTGCCAATGTTGCCAGACCAGAAAGTGCTGGCTTAGAGAGGTTCAACCTGTAATACACTCCTCCTCAGGTTAAAAAGAGATTTCAGGTTGGCTTATCTTTTTGGTTACTTCTCACTCAGAACTAGTACAAAGAGCAGCAGCCCCCAAATATCCTGTTTATTTTACACCAACATTTTAATCAAGCCCTAAGTAAAAGTGAATAGGGTTGCCAGGTGTCCGGTTTTGAACCAAACACTCCGGTATTTGAGCTTTCTGTTCGGGAAACAAATAGAGAAAATATAAATGTCCGGTATTTTCTAAATAAGTAAGTTTTATTGTTATCATGAGTATCAGTATGTAGCTGTGTACTGTGAGAGTGTGTCTACCAGCCAGGCAATACGCAGCTACGCAGTAGAGCGGGATGGAATCCCTGGGGCCAGGCTCACCCATGCGCCCCACCGGGACCGTGCATGGGATGGACAGCACCCCAGGATCTGCATGCACCCGGGTCAGCCCCACTCCCCTCTGGCCGGTTCCCCCCTGGCCAGCTCTGCTTCCCCGGCTAGCTCTGCACCCCCCCCCAAGCCCTTCCCGGCCAGCTCTGCTTCCTGCCAGCCAGTCCCCCCATCTTCTGATCAGCCCAGCTTCCCCATAACCCCTCCCGACAAGCCCCTTTCCCCTCACGGCTGGTCCCCCAACCCTGTTCTGAGATCACATGTGTCCGGAATTTTTTGAAAGCTATCTGATAACCCTAAAAGTGAATATGGCAAAAAAAAAAAAAAACCCAACAGTTTTAGTTTCCTTCTGCTTTCCTTACTTCATTTGAACACAGACGTAACTCTACTGGGGCTGATAGCACCTTAATTGATATACAACTGAGTAATTCCACTGAAGTCAATATTATTCTTTAGCCAGTGAGTGTTGAATCTGGCACATTGACTTCACCGGAGTTACTTTTTATTGTGCACCAGAATATACAAGGTCAGAATCAACCCTATTGGATTTGTTTGGAAAATGCCAGTCTGCCCGGTGCCAGTTTGTCAGCAAACCAGCCAGCAAAAAACTGATTTATGACAGGAATAAAGTGTGCCAGCAAGCACTGTGCTAACATCCTCACATAACAGAGTCTGCAGATGTAGGTTTCACTGCTGCTGCCGGCAACAAATGCAGGTAGTGCAGAAGGCATCATGATCTAAAAGGTAGGATGCTGGACTGGATTTCAGAAAGCTTGGCTCAGCTCTGCCATTGAGTGATCTTTGGCAGTCACTTCTCTGTGTCCCTTCCTATTCTTTGTCCTGTCTGTAAGCAGTGTCTGTGGGACTGATCCAAAATCCATTGAATTCAATGAAAAGTCTCCCATTAACATCAGGTTCTGCGTTATACAGCATCCAGCAAAAGTAGAGAGAGAGCGAGAGAGAGAGAGAGAGAGATCTGGTAGGGTTTCTAGATGTGACTGGGATACAAATAAGAAATAATAATTATGCACATTCCGTGCTTACAAATCTTCTCTCCTGCTTTCGCTTTCAGAAAGTTTGCTCTTTCAGACATTTTGCCAGCTATTTTTTCTGCTGTGAAATTAGCAGCCGTGGCACTAGTTGATGGGAAGTATATCTGATTGAATGACTTTGCTGATTCAGGTAATCATACATCTGTGGAAAAACCAAAACAGTCATTTCTGAAGTTCTGTTCAGCCATAAACTCAAGGGACTGCCTTCTCCAAATGCAATCTAGAGAATGCTTATTCTTTGTACTCTGGGTTTGACAGGAGGTGACTTACAGCCATAAGAGCAGAACTGCAGAACACTCTCACTGTCTCAGTTTCCTAAGACAGAAGGCCTCAACATGAAGGATGGTGAAAGAGAATCTGGCCAGGTACCTTAGTGCCAGCCTAGGGCAATTTTAGACTTGGGTTAAAATTCAGCTGGCCCAGTGCAACTACTATTACTACAGTGGTCTCCAACCTTTTTAAGCATGAGATCACTTCTTGAATTTAAGTGCAGTCCAAGATCTACCTCAAATATAAATACCCTTGCCCGCCTCCTTCCCACCCCTTCCCTTGGGAGGGACAAAATACTTTTTATCCGCTTTTTTTGCAGGTGGGTTGCATTGAGGCAGGTGTCTGCCAAATGTCCTCAGATACCTCCATTATTGAGTCATCAATAGGGAGAGCAATCTTTCCTTGAGAGGACAGACGAATGTTCTTTAAGAGATGATGATGTTTCTCTTTTACTTCATCGAGTTGAACCTCCTAGCTAGTGGCTACTCTTTTTAAAAGTTCTTGGAACTGTTTTAGGTCATCTATAGAGTTTGATGCTTCTGGTGTCGCAGCTTCATCAAGGGGTGAGGATAAATTGTCCTTGAGTGTCTGCCATTCTAGTAAAAGCGGCGAGGAGTCCTGTGGCACCTTATAGACTAACTGAAGTGTAGGAGCATAAGCTTTCGTGGGCAAAGACCCACTTCGTCAGATGCATGTCTGATACTTGCCATTCTAGTGTGACCCTATCTCCGAGTCTACCAAAGCTGGAAGGTTATGGGTTGCGGAGGCTGGAGGGAGCCTCCAAGATGTACTCCTGGGATGGCATCTGTGGGTCTCCCAATAGTCCCACGGTGTCCACAGCAGGGGGTAGAAGAGAGGGGGATATTGCCATTCTGGGTACCAGTCAGGATAGTGAGGTCTTTCATGGTAATGTTGAAATTGATGAGATGTAGCTGGAAATTAATGTTGTGAAGAAAAAACACTGCCTTGATCGTATTCAGCAGTTGCAACATTTCTCTGTGTCAGTGGGGGTTCAATGTCACATAGAGATGGACCTGCTGAATCAGTTAAGTACGGAGGAGCCCCCAAAGGGGGCAGAGGAGAGCTCAGCTGAGTGTTGTAATCTTCAGCTGTTAATATCGTATTACCTGCATTTGCACAAGGATTTTATCCTGCAGCGACTGTGTTGAAGCCTCTGATGGGGAAGCTTTCCTGTAGATAGCTCAGGAGGAGGCAGCGCAAAGGATTTGCGGGGCCATTTGGAAGGCAGTTCCCGGCTTCTTCTCAGCACTGAATGCTGTGGTGCTGGTTTCTGCGGTGCCATGGTCCCTCCGGTGCCACTGCTAAGTGTGCCGACCCCAAGTTGGTGGGGGTTGCAGCCGCTGCAGTGCCTAGTAAAAAATTTTCTGCCGGATTTTCTGGTGTGTGCCACACGTCCCCAGTGATCAATCTGGGGGACAACTTTGTAGGCAGTGACCTGGCAGATGAGACTGTTGCACTGTGATGTTTATGGGGCAATGACGACACAG